TAAATACAATTCATCAATAAACAATTCAAACGAGATAATTCGTAATCCAGAATTTCAGAAACTAAACCACCTTTGGATCGTTCTCTTTTTAATCGCAAGAGCTCATTCAAGACTTTCAGACAGTCCGCGAACTTCCCCACTTGGAAGCGCAAGGTAGCCTCCTTAGCGAACCCAGCAGTAACCGATGGAGCAAAATCCGAAATAGTCCCCACCACAGCCTTGGCATCTCTACTCGCAATTGGCAATGACGAAGATGTTGTTGAATCCATTCGCGCATGGATCGAATTAATTATCCCCTAAAAATGCAAGAAAGTGCACTGTAGTTGAAGAAAAATCTTAGCTTCCGCCAATTAAACAACCCTCTCCTTAACAAAAGATTCACATTCGAATCTGAATTCGAATAAAACCCTAGATATGCAAAATCAACCTAGGGACCAGAACGACCTTCTTAGTGGCCGAGGGGGAGAAGGACATATATTTTGTTCGATGGAGGCAGAGAAGGACATATATTCTGTTCGATGGAGGTGGAGAAGGACATATATTCTGTTCGATGGAGGCGGAGAAGCACATGTATTGGCTGGCGGTGGTGGCTTTGAGTGAGAAGCCATGGAAGGAAGAGGTGGGAGGCTGTGGAAACGGTGGGATTGAAAGAGATTGGGAGAAGAGAGGTGTGAGTGTAGGGTTTGGGTTATTTTTGGTTTTTATCATTTGAGCCCGTATATAATTTAATTTGGGAAAAGTATAAAACTTTTTGCGACGTTCGGAAAATGTTGCAAAAAATAATCCTTTGGTAAAGTTCAAATAACATTGCCAAAAGTTAACTTTTCGCAACAATTAAAAAACGTTGCAAAAAGTAATCTTTTCGCAACAGTCAATAAACGTTGCAAAAAGCTTTATATTGAGAGTTTCAACAATAGGCCCTAAACATTGCTATAGAACCAAATCTCAACAACGTTCAAAAAACGTTGCAAAAACTTAAACTTTTCACAACATTTATAAAACGTTACAAAAGGAGACATTAGCAACATTTATTTAAAAAAGGTTGCGAAAGCTCAATCAAGTTAGCCAATAGCAACATTCACTTACTAAAATGTTGCGATAAACCCTTTAGCAACATTTAATCAACGACTTTTGCGTGTTGCAAAAGGCTATTTTTGGTGTAGTGCCCTAAGTCGCGCCCAATAGGTTACAATCTGATTTCTGTTATTTGGTGTTGGCTCCCAGAATTATCTACGTTCTCTCCTTTATGTTCTTCTTTCAAAGTCTTACTAGAAGTTAATTCTTCTAGTTTTTCTTTATTAAATCTAAACACTGTGTTCGTTATACTTGAGAAAGATGACACAATTCCTTGATGCTTCCTTTCATCAATAAAGCTTTGCACTAAGCATGGGTTAAGGTTTTGATAGCCAACAAAAGTATACAATTTTGACTATGGGGTTGTATAATAGATAGAGTGTTGTAAACTTGTGTTGTTGAAAGTTTATGTAATATTTGTTGAGAGACTACTATATTCTTGGTTCGAAGAATTGTGTAATAGTCGTTTCACAATATTTTGTTCACCGTTCTTCGAACCCTATTTCTTCAAATACACAAGGTTCTTCTCGTAGATCTAAAGGTTAAAACCCTATATTTATAAGATCCTTGGTTCTTCGTTGATTTTTGTTCGTAAGACGTCATTGTCTAATTAGGAGATTGGTACATTCGGCTATCTTTGTGTTGACTTTGGTGGTCAAATCTTAAACAACCACTCTGGTTCGAGTTTTCTAACCCTAAATCACTCTAATATTGAAGCATGCATTGTGTTCTTGACTATTTTGTGACATATCTAGAAGCGAAACCGTGACTTCGCTGGACTCTGATGTCCCAAGGTAATGTGTTATGGGAATTTTTTGTTGGCAGGAATATCCTAGATCTTGGGCAGTAATATTCGATGGTTATGATAGGGATAACCTACAGATATAAGAGCTATTATATTAATAATAGTAAACATGATGAAATAAAGTAATTTAGTGTTTTGAAGCTATGTATATCTATAATGCCCCGAAAATTTATAAAAAATTTATTGTTTTATGTGCTATGTTTTTATATTTTTATAGTTGATGGACTAATGTGAAGTACGTTTTACGTTCTTATGTATTGTTCAAATATTTCGATTTCAATAGAGCAAAAATAAATATATTAATATTATACTCGTTTGACACCTCATAATTAAT